ACTACTCATAGTGACCTTGTATAGGGCTTCCAAGGAGTAGCAGGTGGATTTGAACTGCTGACCTTGTGGTTTGCAGTCTGATACTGATCCTACAGGACCACAGTGGGTGTTTATCACAGAGAGAAACTGAGGTGTTGATGGGAAATTCATAATGGTAGAAGATTAAGCCTCCAATAAATGTTTCTTCTGAACTAGAGGATGAACCTGATGATGCCATGGTTAGGCACGTGCCTCTATCTAAAAGGTCAGTGGTTCAAACCCTCCAGTTGCTCCATGAGGTAAAGGACTTGATGATCTTCCCCTGTAAAGATTTTAGCCTAGCAAACCTGATGGGGAAGTCTCACTCTGTCACATAAGCATGCTATAAGTCAGAATCGACTTGATGGTACATGATAACAATTAGACTAGAAATTTTCAAAGTGTCATCTTGGGACCAGAAGCATCAGTATCACGTAGAAGCTTGCTCAGAATGACAATTTTAGGCCTTCTTGGGACTTACTGAACTAGAACCTGTGTCTCAACAAGCCCTTCCAAATTTCTCTGAGATCCCTGCTCTCAAGTCTAGCCAAGAACCGTGGTAACCAACTTTGGTGTACATTAGAATCACCGTGAGAACTTTAAAAAAATATTTCATAGCCCTTGTGTCACTGTAGACCCAAACCAACCAAACAAACCCATTGCTGTCAATTTCAACCCATGGTGACCATGTGTTACACAATCAAACTGGCCTTCGCAGGGTTTTCATGACTTTAATCTTTGTGGATCAAATTGATAAATCTTTCTTCAATGGCCCAATGGGGTGGGGTTTGAAATAGCAATCTTATAGTTGGTAGCCAATTGCAAACCATTTGTGCCAACAAAGGATATCTAATTTTACCACATTTCTGGGCTCTTGGCCTTATGGTTATTGGAGTTAGAGTCTGTCAAGTTGGTTCTGACTCAGAGTCACCCTGTATAGGAATTCCCTGATTGTAAAGCTTTCTTGGAGCAGACAGCCTCATCTTTCTCTCAAGTAGCGGGTGGTGAGTTTGAACTTCTGTGAATATAATGTAATATAATAGCAACATTCTGGAACACATTTATATCCATCCAGTCTTACATGACACTTCTAAACACTTTTTCAAAGTAGTTGTATCACATAAGAATCCTGCCAGAAGTGTATGAGAGTTCCATTTTCTTCATCTCTTGGCCCAAATATATTATTGTCTGTCTTCATGATAGAGGCCTTTAGTTGGTACAAATGGTTTGGGCTCAAATATGAACCTGAAGTTTAGTGGTTCAAATCTGTCTAATTTCACCATGAAAGGAAATCCTGGAGATTTGTTTTTGGAAAAACTGCAGTCATGAAAATCCTATGGAGCAGTCCTTTGTAAGGCATAGGCTTGCCAGGAGTTAGAACTGACTTAGTAGCAACAGGCTATGCTTTGACTATTTATGTATTGTATATTGATGATATAGGTGGGGACTTCAAAATTGTCATAAAATAGAATTTTAAAATAAGGACATTATATATATATTTAATCTCTCATCTTATATCTTATATATATGGACTTGATTTTATATGTTGACATTCTATTCTGAAAATTTGCAATACATTCTATGTACATGTTTTGGACATTTTACACTTTACAATTTTACTTTAAAGAATAAGATTGTCTCATTGTCTTCTTTCAGACGTTATACCTTTTTGTTTTGCTTTGTTTTGTCTTCTACCTAGAAAGAACCAATAAGTTGTTTTTTGTGGGTAGTCTGTGTTTTCTTGGTTTTAGTGAAAACTTGCAATATTACATCAATAGTTATAAATATATACTGTAGGCTACTTTCTGTTGCTGCTCTTGTTCAGTGTCATTGAGTAGCTTCTGACTCACAGCAACCCTGTGCACAACACAATGAAACACTGCCTTGTCCTATGCCAGCCTCACGATTGTTATGTTTAAGCGTATTGTTACTGCCAGTGGCAATCTGTCTTGTTGGGGGTCTCCTTCTTTTTTTGTTGACTCTCCACTTTTCCAAACATGATGTCCACTTCCATGACTCGTCCCTCCTCAATATGTCCAAAGTACAAGAGACAGGTGTCACCATTCTAAGGAATATTCTGATTACACTTCTTCCAACACAGATTCATGAATTCTTCTGGAATTCCAGGGTACTTTCAATATTCTTCTACAACACTGTAATTCAGATGCATCAATTCTATGGTCTTCCTAATTCATTCTCCAACTTTCGCATGCAAAAGGGTATTAACAATACCATGGCATAAGTTAGGTGGACATTAGTCTGCAAAGTGACATCTTTGCTCTTCAATATGTTAAAGAGATCTTTTGTAACATGTTTCCTTAATGCAATACTTTTTTTTTTGGTTTCTTGACTGCATCTTCCATTGTGGATCTTAATAAATTGAAATATTTGACAACTTCATTCTTTTCTCCACCTATCATGATGCAGTTCATACTGAAGGTCATAGTCTTTGATCTTCATTATCTGATGTTTTAAGTTCTCTTCAATTTCAGCAAGTAAAGTTGCATAATCTGCATATTGCAACTGATGTGGCACTCTAGGATCAGCAATGGGCTGTGAACCACAATGTTGGTGGTTCAAAGCCACCAGTTTTTCCTTGGAAACCACACACAGAGTTACTGCATAGGAAAAGACTTAATAGCACTTAACAACAACAACAAGTCTTCCTCCAATATGGATCCCACATCCTTCTTAATAAAATCCAACCACCAGGATTTTTTTTGCTCATCATACAGGTTGAATAAGTATGGTAAAATAATATAACTGTGACACATACCTTTCCTAATTTGAAGCCAGTTAGCATCCCCTTGTTTTGTTCAAATGATTGTCTTAGTCTATGTACAGGTTCTTTGTGAGCACAATTAAGTGTTCTGGAATACTCATTCTTCACAATGTTTTCCATAGTTTGTTGTAATCCACACAGTTAAATAATTTTCATAGTCAAGAAAGCACAAGTATGTCTTCCCACTTTCAAGCATAGGTTTTGTTTTGAAGAATGTCAGTATGAACAATTTACGTTCATAAAAAGATGCCAAACCAAGTCTATATGTTGTATTACACTGAAAGAATCCTTAAAACCATTGTCTACCTTCCATTTTTCCCTATTTTCTAAAAATATTACCATTAGATGTCTGAAAAAATTAGTAATGAGGAGCCTCTCTTTTCAAGAGAGCTTTAAAAGACATCAAAATAATTAGCCATCATGTGTTGACTTCTTTGTAGATGTGGCCTTAGTATAGAAAATATTTCTTTAAAGCTCCACTTATACAAAAATGAAAGCTATATATGATAATAAATTTTTTTTAAACTTATGTATCATGGTCCCTCAGATAATATATAATAGATTATTTTGGGACTATGATGGTGAAATAGTGGACAGGAATAATTTAAACAATTTTATGCTAAAAAGTGACTGAAAACTGCTCAAATTGTATTTAGAATTTTGAAGACATGCAACAGAATACAACTGGGATTGTTATGCAAGATTTCTTAAAAACTGTCTATCCCTTGTGTATTGTTCTAAAAAAGACTTTACATCTTTATCATGTTGCCTGATAGATAGACTCTTCTTTGTTAGAAAAGTTCCCATAACCTGTATTCAATAATTGCCTAAAATTAATTTGTGATCATTTGTAAATCCATTTAATAAATTACATGTGTTTTCTAAAAGACAGACAGAAAGAGTGAAAGAAAGAAAGAAAGAGAGAAAAAGAAAGCAAAAGTAGACATCTTTCTGGTAGTCTCTGCTCTGCTTCCAGGCCAGATCCATCTGCCATCAGCAATGATGCCCTAGTTTGACGACAACTTCTGAATTTGGCTTGGATTTTTGGTAGCTCCCTGTAGATGTACTACTGCAGTCATTTTTGAATTATCTTCAGAAAAAAAATTTACTTGTATGTGATATTAATGGCATTCAATGATTTCTACATTCTGTTGGATCACCTTTCTTTGGAAAGACACAAATATTGATGTCTTCCAATCAGTTGTCCAGGTAACTGTCTCCCAGATTTCAAGGCATAGATGTGTGGATGCTTCCAGTGTTGCATCCTTTGTTGAAACATTTCCATTTGTATTCTGTCAATTCCAATCCTTTCAGTGCTAGTTGAACTTCTTCCTTTACTACCACTAGTTCTTGATCATATGGCACCTCCTGAAATGATTGAACATCTACCAATTCTTTTTGATATAGTAACTCTGTGTAGTCCTTACATCTTCTTTTGATATTCCCACAGTTATTCAATATTTTGCTGTTTTGTAGATAATCTTTATTAAATTTTGAAATTACTATTTGTTCTTAGATGTTAAGAGGTTAGTTGTTATTTTTAAATTATTTATAATTATGGGATGTAGCAACTGTCATGGATGCAGCGACGCTGCATTTCTTTATGATTTTGCATGAGAATCTGATCTAGATCAGCGTGACTAGAAATGAATGATTTCATATGGCCTCTGGCTCACTGTCAGCTATGCCAATGGGATGACTTTGCCAAGTGTGTCTCATCATCCAACAGGCTAGCCTATGCTTACTCAAGTGGCAGTCATTTCAGCATTCCCAGGAACAGCAAGTGAACAAATCCTATTGTACAAAATACTACATAAGTCCTAGCCTATATTGATTTGCTAATGTCTTCTAAGCCAAAAGAAGTTGCATCATCATGCCCAAATTCAAAGTGTGAAGAAATGGATTCCTCTACTTAGTGTTTATTACAAAAAAGCATGAATGTATGGGAATGGTTTGTTGTCCTTTTTAAGAAATAAAAGGACTGTACAAGCCATATTTCATCAGATGTTGCCTATTCCTCCACTGTCCCTTCTTCCTTGACAACTGCACCCAAACAACTCTTGCTAAAGTCACTAATGAGCCCCATTCGACTCATTCTCCAAAATAAATGGTATCCACTGGAGAAAGTCAATATTTTAACTGTTTAAGAAATCAATAGACTTGATTTGGATTTATTTTCTCCTTTGTTTGGCTATTATAGGTCTTCTGTGATTTCCATGGCCACTCTCAAAAGAAGAATGTGTTTCTTTATGGTTGCAGCATCAAGGAGACCTTGTGGCAAACGGAGTGCCCCTTGAGCACATGGAGCGTCCTGGAGGATGTCAGCTACAGGGTAAATCCTTGGGAGAATAACACAGACCTTTGGTTTTCATATTCTTGCCTTTGAGAGCTGTAGTCCATTCACTGTTTTGTTGTCTAAATAAGTATTTTGATTATTTTAACTATAGAGCTGTAGTACAAGCTTCTTTAAGACCAGAAAAAGAAAGCATTCATGAAAATGTAGTGACAAGCATGTATTACTTCCCAGCATTTGTACTGAGACTTATTCCTTAATCTGTTATCTAAATGTTATGATATGAGGGTAAGTCTAAAGTATTACAACAAAATCATAGAATCCTTTATTAAACAAAAATAGAAAAATCTGAAGCTGTTGTTTCTCAACATAGGTCTGTAGTCTTCTGGAGAGCGTTTTTACATCTCTAACCTACTTCAAGGAATTCTGTGTTATACACACATTAAAATGGCAGTTGGGGCATCCTCAAGGGATACAAATCATAGGCCTTTTAAATGTTCTTCGTTTGGGGAGAACAACGACAACAACAAAAAGTCCAAAGGGACAAGATTAAAGCTCTAGGGTACATAAGATAAAGTTCCCCAATGAAATTCTCCTGGGACTGCCCTTGCTGTCCTCAAAGAATCAGCAGTAGCAGTATTGTGATGGAAAAAAAAAATTTTTTTTCCATTGGGAAACTTTCCTGAATTTTCTCACTATTGCAGTTTTTAGTGTTCTTAAAAGTCTTCATAATAAGTCCCTGTGATTGTTCTATGCCATTAGAAAAAAACAAAAAAAAAACACAAAACTATCAATATTATCCCCTTGGGATCCCCAAAAAGAATTGCTATAACCCTCTGAGATGACCTCTGCCTTGAATTTAACTGGCCCAGAAGATCCCCTTGGGAAACACTGTTTTGATTGGACCTTTGATGCTCACCTACTGGAAACAGGTTGCTAGGCCTTTTCGCTAAGACTCCTCTGGGTGGGTCAAACCTTCAATATTTTGGTTAGGAGTTATGCTTTTATGTGAGTGCAATGTCTCTTTAGGATAAGCACTGAACTGAAAACCAAAAGGTTGGCGGTTTGAGCGCACCATCCACTCTGCAAGAGAAAGATGAGGTTTTCTGTTCCTGCTAAGATCTATAGCCATGGAGCTGCTATACAGGGTTGCTGTGAGTCAGAACCACCCTATGACTCTTAACGATAAGAATAAGCTGACTTCCTAAGTGTTGGCACCACCCAGGGACACATATGATGGTGCCTACCTGCTCTAAATCCTTTACTGTCCTGTTGTTCTTGTAAAGTGCCATAGAGTCATTTCCAACTCATAGAGACCTTGTATAGGGTTTCCGAGGAGCAGCAGGAGGGTTTGAAGTGCCGACCCTGTTGTTCACAGTCCAGTGCTGATCCTACAGTGCAGCACCTAGGTGGATCTAGGTTAATTTACTATGTACAAATAGCTTGATCCCCAGGGTTATATGGTAGTATTTTGTTGTTGTTGTTACATACCATAGAATCAGTCCTGACTTATAGAGACCTATATATGGTTTCTGAGAAGGAGTTGGTAGTATTAAAAGAGGTAAAATCCACCAAACTGCTATTTTAACTGGAAATACTTCCTTGTAGTCTAAGTTTTTCTTCCCCTTTTTACTCATATTTAGAAGTCCTTGTGTGGCACTGTAGGATAAGTGCTGAAATGGAAACTACAAGGCTGGTGTTCAAACCCACTAACTACTACTTGGAAACCCTATACAGGGTCACTATGAGCCAGAAACAACTTGACTGCACTTAACAATAACAACCTCTGAAACAAGGCTGCTGCTGTAAATTTCAGATATTCAATGTTGTTATAGAAGAATTCACAGCTTATCTTTGATCTGTTTGCTCTAAAGCTCAAGGCTAGCAAAAGCAATAAACAATCGGAAGAATAACTGCTTACTTTAGAGACTAGTTTACTAAATGGAAACATTCATCTGGGTAGATCATGTTGACCTGCATAAAATCATCTCTTATGCAATGTTGTTGTTGCTGTTGTTGTTAGGTGCCATTGAGTTGGTACCAACTCATAGTAACCCTATGCACAACAAAACAAAACACTGCCTAGTCCTGGGCCAACCTCACAATTGTTGCCATGCTTGAGCCCATCGATGCTGCCACTTTGACAATCCATCTCACTAGGGGTCTTCCTCTTCTTCTCTAACCCTCCACCTTACCAAACATAATATCCTTCTCCAGCGACTGGTCCCTTCTGACAATATGTCCAAAATATGAGAGATGAAGTTTGGCCATTCTGGCCTCTAAAGAGCACTCTGGATTCACTTCTTCCAACACAAATTTGTTTGTTCTTTTGGCAGCCCATGGTATCTTCAATGTTTTTCTATGTTGTTGTTGTTAGGTGCCATTGAGTCAGTACCAACTCATAGCGACCCCATGAAAGCATCTACATTATCTTGTATTAAATATACTTTCAGCAAAACTTTGACCACTCTTTTACAATGGAAAGTAACAGTATTCATGGATAATCTCCTATCCACAGGCAAAGATAATGAAACATAGAATGTCAAGGTATATCCTTTAGAAAGCTACTATGTAATGAGAGCAGAGGACAGACACCACAGTGGGATCTCAGTCCTCCTAGTCTCCATTTTAGTGTATGACTCATGTTTTTTAATGAATAAATTTCAAAAATATTTGAGGTACAGTTTAGTGTCAGATAAAGTCATATGTAATAACATCACCGCAGAGATTCCAGGCTCAACCTGTTTGCATAAGCTCTATATTGATTAGCACAAGTCCCTGGGTGGTACAGTTAAAATGATCAGCTGCTAAACACAAGTTTGGAGGCTTGAATCCACTTAGAGATACCAGAGGCCTGGAAATCTACTTTTGAAGAATCAGCTACTGAACTCCGTAAGGACTATGCATAGACCCTGACATAACATGATTCAGAGTTGACTTAATGGTAACTTGTCTTGTTTATTTTTTTATTCACTAGCAAAGGTATTAAAAATGTGCTCAATCTATACACTAATATTCCTTGATGCT